ACTGGGCTCAGAGGAAGTCACTAGCCACACTTTGCTGACCTCCAGTCAGGTCTTGTGACTTCTCATGGTTCCAGGCTTTCATTACAGTCAAACCAGGAAGTGCTTCCTTTGTCATGACCAAGCCCATGCAGCCTTGCCGTTTCACCAGTAGGTCAAGGTCCAGGGGTAGAATCTTGAGTTCCTTTTGCCGTGTATCAGCAACTAAACCATGGCTGTCCCGGTGTTCACTCTCCAGAGACTGAATGGGGCAAGAAGGGTAACAGGGGCAGGTCATCCTGCCCTCACCCCACCCACTAATGCAGCCCCTTGAGGAGGGCCCTGGAGTGTGAGTGGGAGACACAGTTCCTGCCCCTCATTGCCTGTCCACTGTTCATTCAATCTAGTGTGAGCAGAAGTTTCCATCTGCTGCTCCACTGCACATATCTTCATCATATCCTGCCATGCTGATATAGTTGATGACTTTTAAAAAGCTCAACTACCTTTAGATTACTATATGCATTTTATTTTTACATATATTTGCTAGTTATTTTAATTATATAGTATATACATTTTATTACATTGTAGTAGAAAATATACTCATGTTTTAGAAAATATACTCATAATCTTAGTATTTATTGATAACCACTATTATTATTTTTTTTAAGAGATGGGGTCTCACTATGTTGCCCAGGCTGATCTCAAACTCTTGGCCTCAAGTAATCCCTCTTTGGTGTCCCAAAGTGCTGGGATTACAGATGTGAGCCACAGCGCCTGGCCTCCACTATTATTATTTTGACACATTTTCTTCCAAACTTGATTTGTAACCTTTTTCTACTTATGTACTTTGATATGGTTTGGTTGTATCCCCATCCAAATCTCATCTTGAATTGTAACTCCCACGATTCCCACGTGTTATGGGAGGTGATTGAATTATAGGGTATTTCCTGCACTGTTCTCATGATAGTGAATGAGTCTCATGAAATCTGATTGTTTTAAAAACGGGAGTTTCCCTACACAAGGTCTCTCTTTACCTGCTGCCATCCATGTAAGATGTGACTTGCTCCTCCTTGCCTTTGCCATGATTGTGAGGCCTCCCTAGCCACGTGGAACTGTAAGTCCATAAACCCCTTTCTTTTGTAAATTGTCCAGTCTCAGGTATCTCTTTATCAGCAGCATGAAAACAAACTAATACACTTTTTTTTTAATAAAATAAGATTATGCTGCATGACCTTTTATATAGCATGTTTTTTCCCCCACTTGACAATATGTTATAAACATCTTTCCTCGTCAATAAACATATGTCCATTTATGGTGGCTGTTCAATATTTCATCACATCTATGAGCCAGATGGATTCAACTCGTTTCTATTGTGAGGCACTTTAGGTTGTTTCCATTTTTCTTTTCTTTTGGAAAACATATAGAGAATATCTGTTTACATTTATTTTTGTGGACAACTTTTATTTCCTAAGTTCCTAGAAGAGGAGCTATGGGGTCAAAAGTCACAAACATGTAAAATCTTGTCATAGATACTGCCAGCTTGCCTCCAAAATAGCATCCTGTCTCCCCTCCCCAGCCGTGGTGAGTGAGCCACTGACCTCAATCCTCCATCAGGGCTGGTCTTAACTGCTATTTGCCATCTCTGCTAGTTTGTCTCAATAACTTACCTTGGCCAAGCCCATGGTAGGCTTTCCCTGGAAGTTTGTGGGGCATTGGGGTTACAATGATAGGACAGTGCCCTGGGCCTTCCAGAACAAGCAAATTAGAGCCAGGGGGATCCCCCAGGCTCAAAGGACAGGCTGGCTTCGATGGCAGATGGCCAGGGAGCAGAAGCCAGCCTGACCCCAGAAGTGTCACAGATAAAACTCACATTACAGTTTAGGCTGAGTCTTAGACTTGACCCAATAAACCTTCTCACTCCCCATCCGCAGACAAGAGGCACACACATAGACACACTCATCGATGCACAGAGGGACAAACACACTTGCATAGATATGCAGGTCCTAGTTGGCTATGTCTGTCCTGCCTTCCATATATTGGCTCCCATTTCTCTCTAGGACCTAAATCTAAGTCTGCCTTGGAAGGATAGGCTGTTCCCTCATTGTCACCTCTTCAAAAATCATGCCCAATCTCCTGGAGAAAGGGAGTGAGTGGAATTGCCTAGAGAATGATCTGTGTGGGCCCTGGACTGGACCAAGAGATGGTCCTGCCAGATCCCCCCAGAGGGCCCCTTTCTGGCCTTTCTCCAGCCATGACCTTCCCTACAAAGTAAGAAATCCCCTGGGCCATAGGGACATGTCTTCTTAGAGTCCTGGCCTTCATTTTAGACCATGCTCTAAGTACCTGGGACCTGGAATTCCCTGAGTCCATGGTCTGAATGGGCCTCTTCCCTGATCACCTTCCTCAGAGTGAGAGAGGACCTCATCACTAGTGTGCACACTCCTGGCCTGGAAGTGACCAAGGGGCAACTGTGGGAGTGTGGATGCAGTTTGGACATGTGAGCTAGGATGTCTGCTCACAGGCATGTGAAGACCTCCCAGCATGATATAAGGCTAGAGCTGGGAAGAGAAAGGGGTCACACTGTAAACTATAGGTTGGGGACCAGCTCTCCCCAGGTCACCACACTTCAGCATAGAACTGAGAGTAGTGGCTCACCCCTATAATCCCAGCACTTTGGAAGGCCAAGGCGGTGGATCATCTGAGGTCAGGAGTTTGAGACCAGCCTGGCAAACATGATGAAACCCCGACTCTACTAAAAATACAAAAATTAGCCAGGCATGGTGGTGTGCTCCTGTAATCCCAGCTACTTGGAAGGCTGAGGTGGGAGAATTGCTTGAACCTGGGATACAAAAGATGCAGTGGGCCAAGATTGTACCACTGAACTCCAGCCTGGGCAATAGAGCAAGACCCTGTCTCAAAAAAAAAAAAAAAAAAAAAACTATAGTCCAGGAATAATAAATTCAAATCTGGCTTTCTAGGTCATTTTTCAGGTCTATTTTTTAAGGTTGGAGAATTAAACATTTCATTCTGATACTTTGTTAGTTTGATTTATAACCTTTCAATGTTTCAACACATGCTGTGTGGGCCTCCACTGTCCCTGTGTCCCTACAAATGTTCAAAGCTGACCTGAAAGAGAGGCTGGCAAGGCTCATCGAGCCCATGCTCAGATGTGGAGGAGAAACAAAAGTGAGTCTGTGAGCCAAGGCAGTGACGCCCCGGGCCCTGGCATGAGGAGGCTGCCCTGCTGGCATGGCTGTGACAAACGCCTTTCTTTTCAGATCACTTTCAGGAGAGATCACCTTGAGGCCTGCCTCCTTTCCCTGGGTTGTGATGTGATGGCAAGAGAACGCAGCAACTTTGAGACCTACTGCATGTGCTATGAGCATGTGTTGTGTCATGCTAGGCAGAGGCTCAGTCAGAAACAGCAAGTAGGTTCCCCGAGAGACGAGAACTACAGTACAGAATGGGCGTGGGCAGGGAAGCCAGGAGGCACTCAGAAAAGTAAAACCGAGGGGGTTAATGTGCATACAGCGGTTCCTATGCCAGAATTGAGGGTGAACTGTACCCTCAAATTTCTTTTCTAATTGGCTCATTCTCTTGGGCTCTGGTATTCTCAGTTGCACACTAGCGTATGTGCTTTGGAGGTATCCAGTGGGGAATACAAAAGGTGAGCAACAAAGGGGCTGACCTTTCCACCCTTGGCAAACACAAGGCACCCACCATGTGCTGTTCCTGGTCTGGGAAGGAAGCCAGGATCCGTGAGTAAACTTTCTCTTCAGGATGCATGTCATGAGTCAGTCTTACTGATGAGACTTCCTTAAAATACGAGCCCACTGGTGGGACGGAGAGTCGCACTCTTGCCTGGGTTACACGCTATTGTGAAGGTAGTTTGCATCAGAGGTTTAATGTGATTTTACTTTATAGTTTAAAAAGTTCAAAAGTCTAAAAGACTAGCCAAAACACCAAATGAAGCATTACAATGTCAAATAATGTGCCTTGCAGCCACCACCATTTGGGCCTATCCCCATTACTCAATTTTCAGCATCAGTGTGGATACCTGGAAGTCGATGTTGTCTTTTGAGGCTGTGTTAGGCATCAAAGTCCGGGGGACAACACACAGTCTTGGCTCCAGGCACAGCCTAAGGTTCTCAAAATGGGGTTCCATTAACACACATAGGAGGTGTTTGGAATGTGTTGTACTGACCTGAGCCATGGTTGGAAGACTGAATGTTTGAGTTTGGTTGTGTACTGCTTTCTCCTGCTCAGGAATTAGATGCTACACAAACAGGCCAGGGTCCACCTGAAGACAGTGCTGGCCAGGTAGGTCATTTCCTATGAAAAAGGGTCCTGTCTCCATTTCTCACACCCACACTCTCACGGTTAGCCAGCAATGGGATGCCTTAGTGTCATTTGCTTGCGTCACCTGTAGAGGTCCTGTCAATGAAGGTCCACTGAAGAAAAACCACGGAGTGTGCTTTTACTTTTGGTAAGCAACCCTCCTTACGGGGCATTTTTTTTTTCTTGAGTTTTTTGGTCACGTCTGTTATTTTGTACTTGTTTTGTTTTGTTCTGTTTTTGTTGTTACTTTGAGGAGTTTTGTGGTTGCTCGTTTTCTTTTGATGCCAGTTAAAGTGCATTCCAAAAAAGAAAAGGGATGTTTGGGCTGAGGTGTCAAGGGAAGGCCGGTTTGGATACGGAGGCCAAGACAGTAGGAGTCTTTTTCTCCAGCTGAAAAGGGCTTACGTAGTGGCTTTTCTGTGGTTACTTATTCACCAACCATTTATTGAGCACGCTCTGTGTCTGGCACTGTTCTGGGACTTTTGAATTACCCTTAAATTCTTCTGCCCGCATTTATGTAGCAGAATGTTCACTCTCATTAGGTTTAAAATAGAAGTGAAATTCAATACTGATCTATAAGAAGCTGTCTTATAGTAGCGGTTTGAAATTCCTGAATTTGTTTCAGGAAACAAACAATCTGAATTGTTTTTCTCACACACAGACGCGCACATTTTCTCTGCTTCTAGGCTGCAGAGCTCAGTCATGATATGATCATGGAAATCACTGCTCTGAGAGCCCAACTCACAGACTTGGAAGAGGTGAATCTGAATCTCAAGAAGCAGATTAGAAAAGACATCCAAGAAGAATATGAAGCATTGGTCCAAGCTTTGTTGAGACCTGTTTACACAAAAGTGAGTGTCCTGTGTCAAACCTCCGGGCCACCCATTGGGGAGCTGAGTGTAACTGATTCCCATGGTGGCTGCACACCCAGGGATCAATGACAGAATAATGGGCTTTGTGGTAGCAAGAGATTCTTAGGCCCAAGAATTTTCTAACTCTAAGCTTTCCCTGCAGAAAGAGAGTCAACAATAGGTTGTCATTAACCATGATAGACACTGAATTTTAGGATAATATAGAAGTCTATTTTTCACCCGCTATTGACAGTTGCCATTGTCACTGTCTGATTGCTGCTGGGAGGAGAGGGTGTTCTGCTGCTCCAAATGCCCCACCTCCCCAGGTTCTACCACCGTTTTATCTATTAGTGTGACTTTCCAGAGATTAGTGCCTGAGCCAGGCCAGACCTTATGTAGGTAGCAGCAGGTGCCTCTGGAGAACTCCCTGGGCACATTCAGAATTTGTGTCAGCTTCTGGAATTTTTTTCCAACCCTCAAAATGCCTGCTAGCCTTACTCTCACATTCAGTGTCAGCAAAGACCCATTGCAGAAGAGAAGTGATGGGTGCACATGCGCCCGCAGCACTGTGGAAGCCAGTCGCTTTCATCTGATGTTTACACAGCCATAAGATAGATGCCCCACACCTAAAATGGGCCATCAGGGAAACTGGTCCAGCTGACCCATCTCTGTGAATTTCAGTACCACCTACCACCTGCAAGTCCACAGCCTCCCCCAACCCTGTCCCTTTCCCTGCTATTGGATATACCCCAAAGCCAGCCCCATTTAGGTCCTTGGGTCTCTTCCCAGGGATTGCAGAGTGGCCTCTAGGGTTATCAGGTTAACAGGAGCTTCTCCTGGTGTTCACCTTGGCCTGGTCATTCCAACGTGAATTTCTTCTTACTTGCAGTGTAAATGCTAACACATATTAAGGGATCAAAACCAAAATGTATTGGGTTTGGTGCTGTAGGAGAGGGATGAGCAGACAGTGAAGGCTGGAATTTGCTAAGCAATCTTTCAGGTGTGAGATTGTTGAGAAATGTCTTAAGTTCCTTTTAGCTTCTGCCAGATTCCTAGTTAAAAAGTAGATTCTTTATGTTTCCTAGGCTGAAGTAGTTCTACCAAGCCTCCTACAGTAGGGAATCCCTATTATATTCCAGTGTCCCATGAAGGTGCTAAAGCTTCTACTGTGTGGTCAGAGCCAGGCTTCCTTCTGTGGCATCCAGCTGGGCACCCTCCTCCTGCCTTCCTCTCCAGGGAGGTGGTTTAGAAGTGAGAGCTCACTCCTACCCCTACCTCTCGCCCCAAAGACACTGTGTTAGTCTGCTCAGGCTGCCATAACAAAATATGACAGGCTATACAACTTAATAAAAAGCTGATTTCTCACAGTTCTGGAAGCCAGCAGTCTGAAATCAGGGTGCCAGCGCGGTCTGCTTCTGGCTGAGCGCATGCTTCCTGGCTTGCAGGTGGCTACCTTCTCACTGTGTCCTCACATGGCAGAGAGGGAGAAAAGCAAAGGTCGGTCTCTCTCTGTCTTCTTAAAGGCCCCAGTATTATTGCAATCAGGCACCAGCTTTATTTCCTCATTTTAATCTTAATTATCTCCTAAAGATCCTATCTCTAGATACTGTCACATTGTGGGTTAGGGCTTCAACATGTGAATCTGGGGAGACACGATTCAGTCCATAGCACTGGGTCTTCAGCTGTACTTACCATTGATCAAGCTGTTTCCTCACAAGCCATTAGCCATAAGCCATTCAGAACAGAAAATTTCCTAATGAGGTTTCTGTTAGATCCCAAATAGGAAGGCAGCCAGCCTGATTCCCTCCTCCACTTTATCTATATTTAACAAGGCTCCTCGAGAGTGGCTCATCTATAGTGTCTTGTCTGGTCAGATTCTGCTGTGAGTCAACCTAGCAGCAAAAATCTTTGGTTCAGCTTCCCAAGTAACTCTTACCAGGGGCAGTGTGGCCAGCAGGCTTTCTACCTGTGACCCACTGTCCTCCTGGCTCAGCTTGCCTTGATGTTGACAAGGAAGGCGCAATGTAAGATGTGCAGGCACCCAGATAATGAAGCCCTGAGGATAAAAGACAGCATTCGATGGGCCACTAGCGTGACTTCCTTATAGTACATGTCAGAATAATTGTCTGAGTAGGTGATATCTTCATGTGAAATTACTCACAAAAGTTGTAGAAGGCAAAATGGCTTTTCTTCAACTGCCCTTCACACTACCCAAATCCATTTTACTTCCTTGAGTCTGCAATTTGCAGGAGAAGCTGGATGAGAACCAGCTTAATTTGATCCAGAAAGTGTGTGAGCTCATCGGTGAAGTGAGAACAGAAGGGACTGACAATATGAAGGACCTAAAGGAAAAAATGGGGCTCTGCCAGCCCTGATGAAGGAATGAAAGAAAATCCAGCCAAAGTATGTGATCTCATTTAGCAATGGGATATCAGTGTTTCATCCCAGCATCTAACCCCACCATTCACCCCGTTAGCATTCCAGCCTGCTTTCCCCGAGAAAGCATTGCATCAGGCATTTTAAAGGGGCAAAGGGATGTACTGCACGATTTTGTCATCTTCTAGAAGGCATGTTTCTGATGTTAGGGTTCATGCCCTTCCCAGGAAAATGCTGGGGGCAGCCTTTTCTGAAAATGAGCCTTTAGCAGGAACAGCTGTGGGCCTTGGAGTGGGACAACTGCAGCCTGGCCACCCTGGTGTGCAAAGTGAGGAGCCTGGGCCGCTGGAGGCTGGCTGTGCAGCAGGCGTGCTTCCAGGCCCAGCCGAGCAGGTCAGAGAAGGTGTGCTCTAGTGGGGGAGGCCCAGACAGTCCCCAGGGTGGCTGGCCCCAGGCCTCCATGGCTGCAGCTGCCATGGTGTCACTGCAGCCATGGGTGGCACTGGTGTCAGGGCCAACTATCCTGAATGATCTGACAGCCTGTTCCCAGGAAAAAATCACCAACTATGTCAGAACCTCGGGAGAAACAGAAATGGGGCAGAAGCAAATGGGGCAAGAAAGAACAGATCAGAGAATTCAGCATAAGGGAAGGAAGTGAAAAGATGGATGAAAGGCTTCACCAAAGGCTTGAGGCTGCTTTGTCAAAATACTGCATATCTTTGGGTTTCATACATGATTATCTGAGGAAAATGAAGTTACAAAATAATAAGCAAGAAATGTGTTTTAAGGCAAATTAAATCCAAAGCACATACTGATAGCTATTTGGAAATTTTCACATCCTGTTTCTGAAAGTGTTTATTCTGATATATCACCCTCTTCTGAATTAAAAGCATGGAAACAGGCCAGGTACAGTGGCACTGTGTAATTACAATTACACAGCTGTAATTCTAGCACTTTGGGAGGCCAAGGTGGGCAGATCACCTGAGGTCAGGAGTTTGAGACCAGCCTGGCCAACATGGTGAAATCAAATCTCTAGTAAAAATACAAAAAAGAATAGTCGGGCGTGGTGGCAGGCACTTGTAGTCTCAGCTCCTCAGGAGACTGAGGCAGGAAAATTGCTTGAGGTTGCAGTGAGCTGAGATTGCACCACTGCACTCGAGGCTGAGTTGACAGAGCAAGATTCCATCTCTAAATAAATAAATTAATTAAATAAAATAATATCATGAAAGCAGTGACTAGCAGGAGCTCCCTTCTACCAGAAGTTTGAAAGAAGGATGGATGGGGAAGTAATTTAGATACTGCTTGTGAAACTAAAAATCTGGAAAGGAAACCTATTTCCTGTCTTATTGTATTTGGGATGTTTACAGGAGTTTATTGAAAGCCAGGACCTGGCCAGGGTGCAGGCCGACAGCACAAGGATATGGAAGCAGTAGGACAGCCGTGTACCCCAGACTCAGAGCCTCTTCCTCCCTCCCTTTGCAGTTCACTCTGCAAAGCTGAACGCGGCCACCAGACATGGTGCTGTGGCTGCCAGGAGCAGTCACCAGAGCACCACAGTGTGAAACCAAGCAGATGGCACAGCCAGGAAAAAGAGCCTGGACCTGGGCTTCTTCTCCCCTTCTTCTCCAGCCCAAAAACCAAGGACAGTGGCCAAAAGGCTTTTGTTCCTACTCATATTTGCTTAAGATGAGAAAACAGTACTCATAAACAAGATCATTATCACGTGCATGCCTGTGTGTGTGTGTGTCCCTGTTTCTCTGAGGATATTTTTGCTAGAGGCTGTTCTGGGATCCTGTAATCTAGGCCTCTGCCTTGAACACAGGTTTTCACGGGGCAAGCATGCTTCCCGTTGACGACCCTTGGCAAGCAGAGTGTGGTCCAGCCTGCAGTATTATCTCCCACGAAAGACTCCGGCCTTTCCCAACGATCCACGCTGTGTCTCACTTTCAGAAGTTACTGCTGCATGATAGGGGCTGGCACCAAAATAAAGCCATCCTAAGCCTAAGCAATTCCTAACTGCCAACCCTCTGGGCATGAATGAAGCAGGGAGACTCTAGGTTTGGAGTGAGAACAGCTGAGTTTAAGTAACAGCCTGGGAAAGCTAGGCATATTTAAAGCATGAAATTTAATTTGTTCATCTTGGACCCTAATTCCTCTATGATTCTGCATCAGATGAGTTAATTATGTAAAGAACATGGTAAACTGTAAAGTTATCCTACCAATATGAATAATAATTATTAATATCATAATTAAGGGTTGACCATCTAGTACTTAGGATAATACTTATTAGAAAAACTTTGGAACAGAACTAAATCATTTCTACACTTATCCTTCTTTAACCTTCTAGAATCTGACTTCCTCAGATTTTTGAAAGTGAAAACAGAGCCTAAATCAGAACCTCCTTTCCTTGCTCATTGTGTGTATGGCATGGCCCCGTCTCCTTGGTTAAACACTTCCACGGCTACCTCCTGACAAAGGCTCCATGACAGTGTAAGTGTTGTTTGTGCTAGACACCATCATCTGGTTAGTAAGCTAGCATACATATTATCACCAAGTCTGGGTATTAAAAGACCAAATGATTTGCCCTGGTGCTGATGAACAGTGGTGTGATCACATGCCTGGCATTTGATGTCTGTTCTGCTTCCCTCTGACTGTCACTGCAGGGCTCACAGTGTAAGTGCCACGCTAGGCTAGACCCTGGTGCTCTTGCTAGCACAGGACAGTCATTGGGCCGTATTTCCTAGATCCCAGGAATACACCATGTAGTTGTGTCCCTGAGCCCAGAAGAGGGGATGGTTATTAATGTTGTCCAACCTCTCCCGCCTTCTGCTGGGGAAAAAAGGCTCCCTGCCGCCTCCTTTCCTTTGGTCTTTTCCTGCCACAGGCTCAACTGCTGAAGGAGTTAGAACATAGAGTGACCCAGAAAGCTCTCACCCAGCAGGAGCTGGATTTCATGAAAACATCCAGCATGGAGCAGCTCTTGGAAGATGTGGGGCAAAAGGAACAGCAACTGCAGCTCCTTAGTGAAGAGGCTGAGAAGGCTTCTAAGCTGGGCCAACTGCAGCAGAAAACATGGAGAGAGACCGCCACCAGGTAAGCTTCACCCTCATTAAAAGGGAGTGTACCCCCAGAGTGCAGCTGGTGCCCCTGCGAGGGCCGCTGCATCCTCCCTGCATGCCCATGCCTGTCTGCTGTCCTCTACAGCAGTGTTTTTCAACCTCTGTCACTTCTAGGCAGCACAGGAGAATGGGAGCGTCTCTCCCCACACTGTGGGGATTGCTGGGCAGGCAGTGATGGCTTGACTGCCTCAGGGCTCAGAATATCAGCACCACTGTAACCTACTGGAAAAACCTGTTTCTACCCAACTCTCATCTTCGAACTAGGAATCTATTAGAAAATTCCAAGAAGTGACCTGGAAAAGCAGCAAGCATTTTTTTGTTTTGTTTTGTCTTTTTGTTTTTTGAGGTGGAGTCTCGCTCTGTTGCCCAGGCTGGAGTGCAGTGGCGCAATCTCAGCTCACTGCAACCTCCGCCTCCCAGGTTAACAGTTTTCTGCCTCAACCTCCCAAGTAGCTGCCACCACGCCCGGCTAATTTTTTTCTATTTTAGTAGAGACAGGGCTTCACTATCTTGGCCAGGCTGGTCTTGAACTCCTGACCTCGTGATCCACCTGCCTCGGCCTCCCAAAGTTCTGGAATTACAGGCTTGAGCCACCACACCAAGCCAGCAGCAGGTGTTAATGGAGGCTATTACAGGAATATTTTATTCAAGTGTTTCAGGAACTGCAGAGACAAAAATGAAAGGCAAAAGTGGTTTGCAGATCCAATGTATTTTGTTAAATATATCCAACAACAAAGAAATAGAAGGGAATACTAGAATGTAGATATGGATTAATACAAATTTCAACAAAGCAGAAAACAATGTAATTCAATAAAAAGGGAAAAGAAATAGTAACTTCCAAAGCAGGCACCTCACACATATCCATTGAATGGGCAAATCACTTAATTCATTTACCAGAGATAGAAGGAGATGGAAATTGAAAGGCAAATTATTGGTCAAGTGGTTTTTTTTTTTTTTCTTTTTTTGAGACAGAGTCTTACTGTCACCCAGGCTAGAGTGCAGTGGCATGATCTCGGCTCACTGCAACCTCCACCTCCCAGGTATAAGCGATTCTCCTGCCACAGCCTCCTGAGTAGCTGGGACTACAGGCACATACCCTGACACCCAGCTAATTTTTGTATTTTTAGTAGAGATGGGATTTCACCATGTTGGTCAGGCTGGTCTCAAACGCCTGACCTCAGGTTATCTGCCTGCCTTGGCCTCCGAAAGTGCTTGGGATTACGGGTGTGAGCCACTGTGCCCAGCCCTGGTCAAGTGTTTTAAATGCTCAAGGAAGAGTTCAATAAGGAGAATTCTATCTACACAAATAAATGACAAAACAGATTAAAAATTGAATCAAGGAAAAGCTAAAGAAAATATTTGTATAGAAATGGAGAGAGAAAATGAGTAGCTTTAGAATAAAAGAAAATTAGAATTTCATATTTATTGCCTGAGAAGTAAACAAAAGTGTGACTGAACCTATAAGAAAAATTTGGCATCCCGATTTGTCCCATAAATTATGCTTTTCTAAAAGCCACCAAAAAATAGGGAAGTTTGTAGATCAGTTTCTTCAAAGTTTTCTCTGGTTAATTATTTGTTTCATGGCAGAGATTCTAGAGGTGGTCAAAACAAATATTTTGAGGTTTCTCTCAACAAATGTGCACTTTACCATATGTATGTAAAAGCCATAGACCCTTTGTAGGATACCCCTCCGGCTCTCCTGACGGCTCAAGTGTCCCTGCACCTACCTACCCTGAACAGCAATCCTCAGCCAGCAAGACCCATTCGCCTCCCCACCCCAACCCCACCACCCCTTCCAGCCAGAAGAGGCTTCTTTAATCCATCTTCAGCCTCTGACTCCATGGGCAGATATTCACTGTCTGACCTCAGAGAGCCTCAGTGTCCTAGCATGTTGCCTGCACCTGGTTGAGGTCACTTAGAGCAGGGGTCCCCAACCCCCAGGCTATGGACAGGTAGGGGTCCGTAGCCTGTTAGAAACTGGGCCTCACAGCAGAAGATGAGCAGCCAGTGACTGAGCATAACTGCCTGAGCTCTGCCTCCTGTCAGAGCAGCCATTAGATTCTCATAGGAGCACAAACCCTCTTTTGAACTGCACTTGTGAGGGATCTAGGTTGCCCGCCCCATATGAGAATCTAGCTAATACCTGATGATCTGAGGTAGAACAGCTTCATCCTGAAACCGTTAACCCCCACCCCCGTGGAAAAATTGTCTTCTATGAAACTGGTACCTGGTGCCAAAAAGGTTGGGGACCACTGATTTAGAGCACAGGCCCTAGAGGGGAACTAAGTGGCCCATTCCCCCAGCCCTCCAGCTACGTGGCTTCAGGCAAAGTCTGTGGTCTTTCTGTGCCTTGGTTTCTTCATCAGTACAATGGAAATAATGTATTCACTTCATTGGATTTGAGGGATGATTAAATTAAGAAATTAGGTAATTCAAATGAAGCCCTTAAAACTGTGCCTAAAACAGGCATGGCAGTGTGTGCCTGTAGTCCCAGATACTTGGGAGGCTAAGGCAGGAGGATCCCTTGAGCCCAGGAGTTCAAGGCTGCAGTGAACTAAGATTATGCCACTGTACTTGAAAGAGTAAGACCCTGTCTCTAAAAAAATTTTTTTAATTAAAAAAAAAAAATTAACAAAAATAAACAGGCCAGATGCGGTGGCTCACTCCTGTAATCCCAGCATTTTGGGAGGCCGAAGTGGGAGGATTCCTTGGGCAACATGGCAAAACCCAGTTTCTACAAAAAAATACAAAAGTTAGCCAGGGGTGGTACGGTGTGTGTCAGTGGTCCCAGCTTCTTGGAGGGCTGAGGTGGGAGGATCACTTGAACCTGGTTGTAGTGAGCCAAGACTGGGCCACTGCACTCCAGCCTGGATGACAGAATGAGACCTTCTCTTAAACAACGGCAAAACCATGGTGTAGTACATAGCTCTCAGTAAATATTGGCTGTTTATATTTTTGCTGGGAATGTGAAGGTAGACAGCCTTGGAAACAGGTAAAATAGACCTGGACTCGAATCCTGGCTGTGTGGCCTTGGGCAAGTCACTGCATCGGCCTCTGGGACGCGGGGGTGAGTGACAAGGAGGTCCTGAGGAAGCGTGCTTCCTTGTTGGTATTTCTCAAGTTTCCTAGTGCCGGCCTGGCTCAGGAAATTTTGACATGTTTTCTTGGTGCCTGCCCACAGGGAGTGAGGATCCTACACAAATCTCTAGTCTGGAGAAGGACTTTGGACCTAGTTTATATTAGGATGTTTTCCTAACTCTGGAGCTCTGGTAATCTGAAATTTAAACTGTGCTTGGGAGCCCCTGGACATAAGGAAGAGCCCACTTTAACGTTTAGGGCAAGCCCATGTGGGGGCCTTCTGGCTGGGTCTGTATAGGTGGAGTGGGATGTACAACACACGTGTCTGAATGCTTGAGATTAGCACGTGTATTCATTTCCTAGGGTTGCCTTAATAAATTACCACAAACTGGGTGGCTTAATAGAATAAAAACATATTGCTTCACAGCTCAGGAGGCCAGAAGTCTGTAACGGATGTGCTAGCAAGCTGGCTCCTTTTAGAGGCTTTGAGGAAGAATCTGTTCCACGTCTCTTCTGAGTCACATTTTGGTCTCTGGCATTCCTTGGCTTGTAGTTACCTCACTCCAATCCTGCCTCTGTCATCACAGAGCCTTCTTCCTCTGTGCTCCTCTGAGTGTCTGTATCCTTATCCTATCTTCTTATAAGGAGAACAATCAGTAGATTGAGGGCTCACTTTAAATCCAGTATAACCTTATCCTAACAAGTCCATCTGCAAAGACCCCATTTCCAGATAAGGTCACATTCTGAGGTTCCAGGTGGACATGAAATTTGGGGGGTCCTCTTCGAACTATATAGTATGTATTACTTTTCTACAAGTAAAAGCAATGAGGAGATGATAAATGGAAAAAGCAAAACCACCTGTGATCTGTGCAGATGAGATGCACTTTGGACTCGGGCCCTGTCTGGCTGGGGAGTGTGGGCTGGCTGTGCACGGGGAGAGCCACACAAGGAAATACAAAGATTGCTTCTGGAGGTGGGCAGGGCATTCCCAGCAGATGCTGAGCTGAGAGCAGAGATCTAGGAGAGAGATCAAGTCTTTCCTCCGCTTGAAACTGTCCAGAGGCTCTGACAGGTCCTCAATGTAGATGCCATGACTGGGCCTCCAAAGTCTTGTGTGCCCTGGGCCCTCACTCCCCTCTTCCTCTACCCATCTGATGAAATAAACATGAAAGATATAACCTTGTGAATAAGCTCCTAGCTATTATAAGTTATAAGGGATTCCACGGACTGCCTTTGTTCCTTTTTGGTTAAGCTCTTCGTCTTCCTGAAGCTCTTGATTCTCAGAAGGCTGAGTTTAGCCTAACCAGGACTTGAAGAGCTGATTATTTCTTCAGAGTAACCTGGAACCCTCATTCTCCCCAGGAACCCCCTGTGAACTGAGGAAATGAAAGTGAGCACAAAGCATCTCTGCTTCTCATTTTCCCCTCAGATGAGAGCCCACCTTGCCAAGGAGCGCAGCATGAAGCTGGATGCTCTCCAGCGTGTAGAGGACCTGCAGAGTCAGCTTCATGATGCCCAGCAGTCAGCTGTCCCCATGGGCTCACCAGGTGGTAAGTTACCCCCTGTTCTGGCTAGAAAACCCTCCCAGTCTCTGGGGTCTGAATTGAAGAGGGTCTCAGGGACTCAAATAACACTGTATAGTTATTGAGTGGGTTCTCCACAGTGTTTGTTGAATGACACATGAATGAATAAACCTTAATTCTGATTTACAGTCAAAATGTCCTACTTTAGTACCTTGCAGTACTGACATCCAATACTAAATGGTTTCAGTCATAAAAAACTGGTCTCAGACAGGCGTGGTGGCTCATGCCTGTAATCCCAGCACTTTGGGAGGCTGAGGTGGGTGGATCACAAGTTCAGGAGATTGAGACCATCCTGGCCAACATGATAAAACCCCATTTTTAGTATAAATGCAAAAATAACCTGCGTGTGGTGGTGCACGCCTGTAATTCCAGCTACTCAGGAGGCTGAGGCAGGAGAATCACTTGATTCACTTGAACCCAGGAGACAGAGGTTGCAGTGAGCCGAGATTGTGCCACTGCACTCCAGCCTGGCAACAGAGCAAGACTGTCTCAGAAAACAACTGGTCCCGGACCAGTTCATTGGATTTTGAGACATCTTAATGCTTTGGGATACCAATGACCCTATTTCTCAGAGTCATTCATAAAGTACATTATGATTCTTGGGTGCTGGGGGTTTGGGGTGTCTTTGAAAATAACAATCAACATAGCTCTTTGAGCAGTGCAGTCAACAGGCAGCATGGAGCTGAGGCCAGATCTCAGGATGTCTCTAAACCAGCTTCCTCCTTTTTAAGATGAGGACTAAATACATTCTAAGTTCTCTTTTAGATCTATCAGAAATATCACCAAATATCACTAAACCATGATTGGCCTATTGTTATGACTGGCCATGTCTCTTCTTTCCTGTTCTGCACATAGTCTGGTAGTTGAGTATGTGGGCTTTGGAGTAAAACAGCCAGAATTCAGTCCCTGGCTAACCGCATGACCTTAGACAGGTTAATTAACCTCTCTTTAAAATGGGAATACTCACCTCAAAGGCTTGCTCTGAGAGTAAATGAATAACCCATCTAGCACTTAGTAATTGTGTAAGTGTTGGTTACTATACTTGCATACATGTGTTTAACCCTTTATCTGAGTTTCCTTTTGGCTACTTTCCAGCATGAATGAGCCGAGAGAACACAGCCTTTCAGAAGCACAAAGTCACAGATCAAGTTACTTTGGGTTTACTAAGAACAGAGCTGGGCTTGGCAGTAAGGTTCACAGGGCCCTTCTTCCTGCCTTTGGGTTGCTGCCCGGACCTGACATTGGGAGCTGGTGTCCTCTGCCCCAGCCACTGTTTGTTACTGCTGCCCCAGCCCCAACACAAAGAGCATCAAGAGCACCCAAGGGTCCTACTTTCACCCTGACCCTATGCAGTTCTGTACCTTACACTGCCTTCTCCATGTGCCAGGGGATTTTTTTCTTCTTTCCCTTTCCCCTCTGCCTGCAGCCTAGCCAAGGATCTTTCTAATCCCTTCCTGCATTAATGCATCCTAGTGAACTGCCATCCATGTCCTCCAACACCTGCCCATTGAGAAAGAGAACCAGAGTGAGGCATGAGGCAGGTGGGAGAGACCCAATTCCCAGGATTGGGGTGGGGGCAGGAGTGGGAAGGAAGCTTCTTTCTCAGGAAGTAGAGGTTACTCCTGGGCTTCAGTCCCCTTCTGTTCCCCTGTACAGAAAGAGGAGGGGTTTGAGGGCACAGCCAGCTATCATCCATACTATTAATGCTAAGCAGTAAAAGCCATATTCCCACTCCTCCTTCCTCCACTGTTGTCCAGCTGGAATCTGAAAGTGACCCAGATGTCTTCTGCAGCATCCCTGCCTCCCAGGTCAGAAACATAGGTGCACTCAAGGGGCGAGCTCTCTTTATTTCCCTAGGATCTTGCAACTCCTGAGAAATGACAATTTTTTTCTAAAGCAATTATTTTAGAAATGCTTAAGGAAAAAATGAAACCACTTGGCTCATAAAACTGTAAAATGTTCAGAGGAGGGCTGGCTAAAGGCAGCTTCCTCAAGATTTGAACTACTTCATGAGGACTGGTTTCACTCTCGCCATCTCTGGGCTCTGAGGAGGCTGGGAGCAGAAAGGAAGTGGGGCCCTTGGGAAGTAAGATGACAGCCATCTCTGTAGCTTCCATCCCTGTTCATGCTCAGCATGGCAGGAGCAGGGTGTGGAGATGGGACGGTTAAAAAGAATTGGGCTCTGCCTGGACCAACTTGGGTCATGGTGCCAATTTTGAACAAATCACTGGAGCCGCAGACTAAGATGCCTGTGTCTGGTTGGCTTAGGCCCAGCTCACCTGTTCCTCTATTGGAGCTATGGATTGAGTCAGCTCGCTCTTTCCTCCTCTCTGCAGCAACTGTTTTTGTTTGTTTGCTTGTTTTGTCGAGATGGAGTCTCGCTTTGTTGTTCAGGCTGGTGTGCAATGGCACGAACTTGGCTCACTGCAACCTCTGCTTCCCAGGTTCAAGCGATTCTCCTGCCTCAGCCTCCCCAGTAGCAGGATTACAGGCGCCCATCACCAGGCCCAGCTAATTTTTGTATTTTTTTTTTCTAGTAGAAAAGGGGTTTCACCATGTTGGCTAGGATGGTTTCAATCTCCTGACCTTGTGATCCGCCTGCCCCAGCCTCCCAAAGTGCTGGGATTACAGGTGTAAGCCACTGCACCTGGCCAGCCAACTGTTTTAAATCCGCCTTGTCTCCTCAGACCTTCGTACATGCCCCTGCAACCCCTCATCCTTTCATCTCCCACTTCACAGAGAAATTAGAAAGCCTTGGACAGGAACGCCATCTTCTCACTGTCTCCCAGCCCACCTGCATCTGTACTCCGCTGCTTCTCCTTCCCTACTGTGAACATGAAAAGGGTGCCCCTCTTCTTCCCCTGGCCAATCCTTATGTAAAGGGCCCATCTGCTGCTACCTTCTCAGGGGCCTTGAACTATCTGCTTCTTTTCTACATACTTGTATTTCTTGTCCATGTATCCCTCTAATCCTGCAACCAACAATTACTTATTGATCATGTATGTGCCAGGATCATAAAATCCACTGTAAAATAACACACACCCCAGCCCTTGACAACATATTCCTTCCTCTGCCACTTGCCTTTCTCTTCCCAGTCAGACTTCTTAAAAGAGCTGACTATAGTCACTTTTGTGATTCGCTTCACTTAATTTCTCTCAGGTTTGCCATTCTCAACTTGTGGCTTTCAAATGCTGCTCATCACCTCATGGTCCAAGATGGCCACTTAAGCTTTCTGGCCAATAGGGAGGAAGGCAACAAGTAGGGCCCACCCCTCCCTTGAAGCTTGATGAATGCTTCCTGCAAGTCACTTGTGACATTTCTGCATATATCTCATTGGCCAGCACTTAGCTCCAAGACTGCACAAAGGAGACTGGGAAATGTAGTTTTTATTGTAGGACACTGTGTGAACAAAACATGTGAGGTCTATTTCTAAGAAGAGAGGGGAGATTTGCAATTGAGGGCCAAGTATAGGTCTCTATGACACCACCAGCAATCTGATTTTGCTCACCACAATTTCATTGCAATTGCTCTTGCCAAGATCACCTTGACTTCTGTCACCAAGTCCAAAGGACACTGCTGAGTTCTCACACTGATTTCATGTCTCAGCAGCATTTGAAACAGCTGACCACACCCTTCTAATTATTTCCCTGGCACTGCTCCTAGTGGTTTCTCTCCTCTTTCTCTGGCTGCTTTTTCTGTCTCCTTTTTCAGTTCCTCCTACTGTATCTAACCTGTAAACACTGAAGTTGTTCAGGGATCTTTCTGGCCCCTTCTCCTCTCACCTTACATTTTCTGGATAATTGCATATGTTCCCACAGCTTTAATCATTATTTGCCAAGCCTACATCTGCAGCTCAAAACTCTCCTCTGAGCTGTAGACCCACATGTCCAATAGCCCATATATCCACTGAATAATGTCTGCATTCATTTGTCTCAGGCTTACAAGTTCAACGGGTCAAATGGAACTCATCTTCCTATCCTTTTCCCTTCTTGACTACTTTTGGGGTTGGGGAGATGCTGTCTCAGCAAATAGTAGTGCCAAATATCCAGTTGCTTAAGCCAGAAATTTGGGAGCTATTCTTTGTGACCCTGCAAATCCAGTTAATTCCCAACTCCTACTAATTTGGATGGCTTGCAATCTATCCACTTCTACCTGCCATAGTCCAAGTCTCTCCTTCTCTTTTACTTGGTCATGTGACTATCAGGCAAAAAACTCCAGGTTTTGACATATTTGCTCAAAATTAATGAAGCTGAAAAGAAAAAAATGATTAAGCTGTTAGATGCCAATTTTAAGCTCTAAATTTTATGAATTAAGTCTAGATTCAGGAGTTTGAGGTTATAGTGAACTATGATGGTGCTGCTGCACTCCAGCCTGGGCAGCAGAGTGAGATCCCCTCTCAAAAAAAAAATAAATAAATAAAATAAAAATAAAAAATCAAAATGATCTAGGCTTATCCATTGCAACCAGATATCATTTAACATTTTTAACTTTATAGGCCTTACATCCCAGGCTCGATACTCCCCAAGTTCTGCTTCCACATCATCCAGATACTGCCAGCAACACTTTTTAAAGACTAATCTCACAGGCAGTAAAATAACAGGACAGATTCAAAGGCCACAGACTGTAAGTAATGATAAGGTTGGTTACATGCATTAAACAATAAAGCCTTTCAATTTGATGTTATGGTTTTTGGGTCACTTCAGACTTAAATTAGAAAAAATTATATATCAGGAGCTTATCTAGGTGCCTTAAATCTGGATAAGAAAATTCTGATGTTGAAATAATTAAGCTCTGTAATAGCATCTTCTAAATTACAAGTCAATAAATGGGTATGGAATCAGTACCAACACCTTGCTGTGTTCCATCTTTGAATTTCTTTTTGTTCCCCCAATCATCTTCAACAAATTAACTAGCAGCATCAGACTCCTTATCTGAGTTCCCCAACAGAGCAGAAATAGTTTCGGAAGTCATTTTAAAACATGTGAGAAATGTAGCCTTCAAAAAAATTCTTAGGGTTCAGATTAGCGTATATTTGAAGCACTTATAAAATGTTTCAGTTTTTAGTTTATGTAAAACAACATATACTTTCTCTTCCACTGCCTTCTCTCTACTGCTTTAATAAGTATTTTACTCTTTGCTCCATTTTCTTTCAGAATCCCTTATAAAGATTCATATATCTAATCAATACATTTAAGAATTCCTCCCCATTACTTAAAGAAAAATTAGGAGGAAGAGATTTAATCATTCCTTCAGAGGAAAGTATGCCATTGCAAGAAATCATTTGACAGTGTAATTCTGTAGCTGGTGGTCTAGTTAAAAGGACTGAAAGTTTCCAGATTTCTAAACATGCAATTACGAAGGGGGAAAGACAGTTTGGGAAGATACCCAAACACCATCTTGACCAAGTGAGGGCCACATTACTAATGTCCACCGTTTGCTTGACTCACCAATCTCTGTGCAGTCATCTTTCTCAGAAACTTTTATTATATGTCTGTGTTTCTGCAAAAGGCTTTTCCAAAAAGAAGCAAAGTTCACCTTGTATGTGTGAGACCACAAGGGCTTTCAAGAATCACTATCTCCATTTCACACTGAAAGCTGCAAGCATCATGGGAGTGTTGGTGATCACAACTTGTTGAAAAGGCTGCTAAGCAGCTAAGTGCATTAGTGACAATTTATTATATTTGAGAGATTTAGAAGGATGATGGTCTAAGGCTAATTGTTTGATGTACATTGCCCTACTAAATAAATAAACCCTATAGTGAAGTGTCTTGTGGGCCCATTTGCCCAGTGGCTATGTACAATATGGGGACCCAAAGCAAAAAACCTCAAGGCCAGGGAAGGTACACAGTTAGCTGGAACTTCTTTAGATCTCAGTTCTGACTTCTTAAGCAAGGCCTATGAGACAAGTCAGATAAATACTGATTGAAGAGGAATTTATAAATGGCTGAAATGTAAGAATACAGTTAATTTTCTAAAAATTAGCCCTGCACTTACAAAAATGATAAGAAATTAAGGAATTTTTAGCTTACGCTAAATATGAGCTGTGTTTTCTTCCTTAACTGGAAATGGCTTTCTAGTGATGCTTTCCATTAATTCTTGACCAATTCCCCACAGGACAAGCGGCAAAGTACGTACAAGAAGGCATATTACACGGCCTAACCCAGACTGAATCAATGATCTTCGTCTCAAAAACAGAGAATTTTTATGATGCTATAACAAGAATTATTCACCATGTTCTTAACAAACACCAATATCTATTTGTATTACAGGTACCTATTAAACACAAAAAAAGGATTGATGATGTTTTCCCACCTAATATGGCAGAAAATGTTCACCTGACAGCTTTTCAGGTCCAAACAGCTCCATCCAGATTCCCATTTAGAGCTGACTGGTGATCATATCTTCTTTTTCCAACCTTTATTTCTACGAGTATTTGAATGAATAAAAATAACCCTAAAAGCCAGTATGCCTCTTATTTTATGAATTTTTCTTATCTGTACTTGGAAGATAGTGTTGAAGGATTGAGATGATTACATCTTGAGTGTCCCAGGTAAAGTAAGGGGTTGGTCCTAGACTTTAAAACCTAAGCATTGATTTGCATTCCTGCAAGCGCCATGGTGGAGTGCCACTTGTGTGGCACACCCTCCAATACCCCTTTGAGTGGTTTTGCAGTCTCAATGAGTTTCCCAACCATTTAATAAGCTTTGGGCAGATCCTCTCCAATGAGGTCTGGATCTCAGCCCTGAAGGGTAGTGTTTGGTTCCTATATCTGCTATCCTTGTATTCTTTCGAGTTCTCTTTATTGCTTATAAGCAATATGCCAATTCTTTGTTATAGTTAGTAATTCTTTATATCAAACTTTCCCTATATGAATTACTGTGTGCTTTATGTTTCTTGATTGGCCCATGACTGATACAGAACTTGTTCCAGGAGTGGGGTGTTCCCAGAGGATAGACCTGCTATGGTTTGGATGTTTTGTCCTCTCCAAAATTCATGTTAAAATTTAATCCCCAATGTGGCAGTCTGAAAGGTAAGACCTTTAAGAGCTAATTGGGTCATGAGGACTGTGTCCTTATGAATGGATTAATCTATTCATGAATTAATGGATTTGTGGGTTGTTAATTAATGGACTATAATGGGAGTGAGACTGGTGGCTTTATAAGAAAGGGAGAAAGACTTGGGCTAGCATGCAAAGCTCCCTTACCATGTGATGCCTTGTGCTGCCTAGGTCTCTTTGGAGGGTCCCCACCAGCAAGAAGGCTCTCACCAGATGTGCCTCCTCAACCTTGGACTTCCCAGCCTCCATAACTGTAAGAAATAATTTCCTTTTTCTTTACAAATTTCCCAGTTTCAGGTATTGTGTTATAAACAACAGAAAATGTACTGAAACAGAACACAGATGGAACTTGGGATTTGTTTGGTTGCAACCTTAGGCTTTCACACAGTGCTGAGCTAATAGGAAACTGGAATGTTAGTATTCTTTGCATGCGGTGGCATCACAATCACATTATTACCTGTGTGCTTTCTGTCTCCTGATTGGCCCATGACTAACACAGAACTGGTACCAGGAGTGGGGTATTTCCAGAGGATAGACCTGTTATGGTTTTAATGTTTGTCCCCTTGAAAACTCATGTTAAAATTTAATCCCCAATGTGGCAGTAATGAAAGGTGAGACTTTTAAGAGGTGACTGGGTCATGAGGACTCTGCCCTTATGAATAATCTCTTCATGGATTAATGGATTACCTTTGGTAGATTGTGCTAAGTACCTGCGGAAGCATGTGCCTTTAGAAGCCTAAATTGTTACTACATTGACTATCATGGCAGTCACATTGACTATAGAGACTGTGGTGTGAGGTGGATTTTTCTGAATGCACATCAGCACTTAACGGAAGAAAATGACAAGCTCATGACCTTTAATTCTAGGCTTAAGTCATGGTCTGAAAACTAGAGAGCTTCCATGATAGCCCTAAAAGTATCTCTTCACTTCTCATAGTCACAGGGATGACATTGCTAAAAATCAAGCACAAATTTGTATTATGGGCATGCTAAATTACAATAATAGTTGGATTTACAAGCTCATCAAGGTTCTCATTTCCACTGAGATGGGCCCTGTGATTTCAATGAAGAAAATGCAATTCCAAAGTGGAGGAGCCAGGTTGGCAGGCTTTAACTGGCAAAAGACAAGGTGGGCATATCCATTATAAAGGGCAATAGGGATGTATCAGTAGTTAGAATTCCTTGGCCTGCGGAGATCTTTGGTAGTTAATGTGTCCCCAGGTATGGAATCATATGAAATCACAGAGAATTGCTTAATGTATGTAACAGAAAAATCTTTAGGTCTAGTAACCAAAACTTCAGTCACCATAGTGGAGAGTCACAGCCTGTGACCCAGATTCCAGATATAAGTCAATTCACAGACCAGAGGCCCTTGACTGAAGAGGAGGCTGGATCTCCTTGAGGAAGGACCCTACACTGCTGCAGGTTCATGTTATAAATCTTCCTCCTAACCATTCCCAAAGGGACCTGCAATCATTTTCTTAAATTGCTGTTCTTCAGAGAAAACAAAGTACCCAGAGATTTTGATGGTTACTAGACCCAGGGCCTAAATTAATGCTAATTCTTGGGTACCCAAAACACCACTGTGGCTTACCAGTCAAAATGAAGGCTTACAGTGGTCAGGTGATAGAAGGAATCATAGCTCAGGTCTGAATTACAGTGGACCAAATTGGTACATGGACCCACCCTGTGACTACTTCCCCAGTTCCTGAGTGAATAATTAGAATAAATAAAATTAACAATATGAAGAATTTCCATATTGGTGTTTTTGACATATGAGTTGAGAATCAATTACAGTAGGAAGGGATCATTGGAAGCCCCTGGAACTTGCCCTCCCTATCAAAAAAGCAAACCAAATGCTTCTGTTTTGCTGGAGAAATGGCCCTGGGCATTAATGCCACCATCAAAGACTTGAAAGCAGCAATGGTGATGATACCTAGCTCTTTGTCATTTAACTCACCACTTTGGCCTGTGCAAAAGACAGATCTTAGAAAATAACTAGGGAGTATCAGGTCCACATCTTAATGAGGTAGTGATTCCAATTGCAGCTGCTGTCACAGACTTATCTTTACTGAAATAAATTAATATGCTCCTGGCACTTGGCATGCAGTTATTATCTTAAAGCCTTTTGTACCATGAGAAGCAGTTTGCTTTTACCTGGCAAAGCCACAGTATATCTTGATAGTCTTGCCTCAAAGCTTTGTCAGTTCTCCTTCTCTCTGCCATGATACAGTCCAGAGCGACCTTGTTCATCATGATATTCCACACAATATCATATCGGTCCACCATATTGATGACATTATGCTGACTGGAAATAATGAGCAAGAAGTGGCAAGTACTTAGGTGCTTAATAAAACATAGAAACTAGAAGGTGAAAGAAAAAAATCCCGTAATTCAGAAACTCAGTGAAGTTTCTAGGGGTTCATTGATTTGGAACAAGTTAAACTATCCCCCTCCAAAATGAAAGATAAGTTGCTGCACTTCACACTATGCACCATGATTAAAGAGACATGATATGCTTGGTAGGTCATTTCAAATTTTGAAGGCAACATATACTTTGAGTGTGCTACTTCAACCCATCTAGAGTCACCCATAAGATTATCGTTTTTGAGTGGGGACCAGAGCAAGAGAAGGCTCTATATGAAGTTTGAGTTATAGCATAAGCTGCTCTACCACATGGGTCTTATGATCCAGCAGATCCTATGATACTGAAAGTATTATGGCCTATAGGAATATTGTGTGGAGCCTCTGTCAAGCACCAGTAGTAGAATCACGGGGAAGCAAACCTATGTCTTTTGAAGATTACTACTCTCCTTTTAAGAAACAGTTTCTGTCTTACTGCTGTGCCTTAGTAGAGACTGAATACCTAACCATGGGATAGGAGGGGATCACGGAGCCTGAGTTTTCCATCATAATGTGGATGTTGTTAGCTAGCCTAGTCATGAACTTGGACATGCGAAGCAGCAATCTGTCATCACACAGAAATGGTACAGAAATAGACTTAGCTTGCCTTAGCAGGTCTGAAGGGAGAAGAAGCATAGCTTGCTTGAACAGGTGGCTCAGACTCTTTCAACACTGTTTCATTGCCTTCTCTCCCTCAACCCATACCTATGGTCTCCTGGGGGTGGTTCTAACAACCAATTGGCCAAGAAAGAAAAAAAAAATCAAGTCTAGTTTACAGAGTGGTCTGCATGCTATGTTGGTGGCAACCCCTTAGGGCAGTGGTCAAAAAAAAAATCCTCCCAGTGAACAGAACTTCAAGTAGTATCTTTGGTTGGCCACTATGTCTGAACTTAGAGAAGGCCAGAAGTACAGATCTACACCAATTCACGAGTAGTTGCTGATGGCTTGGCTAGATAGGGAATTGGAAGACACAGGCCTAAAAGGCTGGTGACAAGGAAGTCTGGGAATTATCTGTGGATGGACCTCTGGGAATGGGTACAGACTGAAGATATTTATGTCTCAGGTTAATGCCCACTGATATGGTTTGGCTCTGTGTTCCCACCCAAATCTCATCTTGAAGCTCCCATAATTCCCACATATTGGAGGAGGGACCCAGTGGGAGATGACTGAACCATGGGGTTGGGTCTTTCCTGCACTGTTCTTGTGATAGTGAGTAAGTCTCATGAGATCTAATGATTTTAAAAATGGTAGTTTCTCTGCACAAGCTCTCTCTTTGCCTGCTGCCACCCATGTAAGACATGACTTGCTCTTCCTTGCCTTCTGCCATGACTGTGAGGCCTCCTCAGCCATGTGGAATGACTGTAAGTCTGCTAAACCTCTTTCTTTTGTAAAGTGCACAGTCTCAGGTATGTCTTTATTGGCAGTGTAAAAACAGACTAATACACCCAACAAAGGGTATCCATAGGAGAGGAAGCTCTTATTAATCAAGTTGACAAAATAACGTGCTGAGGTTATCAGTTACATTAATTATAACCTCAGTGCACATTCCCCAGCTACTACACCACTCGCTCAGTGGGTCCATAAATAATGCAGCCACAGCTGCAGGGATAGAGGCTATAGGTGGGCTCAACATCATGGGCTTCCCCTTACCAAGGCTGACAGGCACTACTGCCAACAACTGTCCAATCTGTCAAGAGCCACGACCAATACTGTGGCTGCAATATGGCACCAATTCCACGGCTAATAGCCATCTACCTGATGGCAGGTTGACTACATCAGACCTTTCCCATCATGTAGGGGGGCAGAGATTCATCTTCACTGGAATAGACACATATTCTGGATATGGATTGCCTTCCCTGCCCATAATTCTTCTGCCAGTACCACTAACCAATCCACATACTCACAAAATGCTTTGTCTACCATCATGGCATTTCCCATAGCATTACTTCTAAGCATGGAATCAATTTCACAGCAAATGAAATGCTGCAATGAGTTCATACCTA